TTCACCATTAAGATGCCTCGTATAGTCAAAGATCGAGAACTTTAACTTCTGAAACGCTTTCGTATACACGACACACACATTTAGTCAATTTAGAATTCAAGGATGATTTAGATGACATACTTGAATTGTGGGTGTGTGAAGACCCATAACGCACTTTTTAGGGGTGCATTTAGCACTACAACCTAAGTAAAATTTCTTTTTTCCCTCCAAAATTTAATGGTAACATCTAGGAACACAATGTTAAATCTTCCGTGATTATTGTGGTAAATGAACTAATAATCTAATCTGTTCGATAACAAATGAGTGCACCAAGGACCTATTCAATCACTACTCTATTCATTATCGAATTTGAAGTATCCGCGGCGGGTTAGCATAAATCAAATGAGCACTAAAGTTCAACACGAAATTCTTATTCACTTGGCTGCAGTAAACACGTCCACAGGTAATTCGGATTTTAATACTTTAAATCGCTTTTCACAAGATGGTAGAATTCTAGAAACAGGCAGTCGTCGCAAAATCCAAAAGTGGCAAGAAAAACGTTTAATATATGCATGGGTAAAACTAATCATGCTAATTTAATCTTTTATGCATACTAGTATTCCCTAACTAGTGAAGGCTAGATGCTAATCGATATTAGCCAAAATCTTAAGGAAGATGGAAGATGGGTATATTATTATTCGTAACTTCTTAGAACATTTTAGACTGTCGTGTTCCGTTACATTGAGACTATACAGGCTACCAAAAGCCCATAAGAAGGATATCCCCTTACTTCATATACTTAATATAGATAACTCTCTGTATCATTTGGTTGCTTAATGGTTATCCGGGATTTTAAAACCCATCAGAAATCACACCAATAGATACAACCCTCTTGATTCAATTGCTTTTGTCTATTCAATAAGAAATATTGACGTAAATGGTGAAGAAGCCACAGGTATTCGGAGTTTGACAACTGTTTAACCAATAAACCTTCTATATGAAGCGTACCTACCAAGTGAAATCAAAAGACAGAATCGAGGAGGTTTGGAGATATATTTGATATGCTATCATTATATCGAGAATCGTCTGATCTAATCTGGCTAGCGATTGCAGTAGATGTTGAGCACGGCGTTTCCACTCGTGATCTGGTGCGGATGCATGATCGAGCGCTCTGAGCTAGGTGAGTCCATTAAAACATGTGGTCAGCATCCAATGTCGAATACTTACAGAGCTATTTATTTTGGGGGTTTATTTACCGCTACAATAACAAAAATATGATCTCACTGGATTACACTTCTTACAATTATTCCACCAACAGAAACTTTATGTTTTGGTGTGACCATGTTGAAAATGAAAACTTTAATATTCTCACCCCAAAACATTATCTAAATGGGCTACATCTACGAAATACTCTCAATGTGCGATTCGGATTTAATAATGATTTCTACGGACAAAATGATTAAGTTGCAGTAGGTTTGTGGTGGTATTGGTTCATAACAACACGATCTTTGAAGATAAACATAATTAATGAGATATACATTCAACAAGTAACACTTGAAGATGATTAAAAATGATGAACGCGAGAACAATAATCGAGATGACATGGCTCGGCCATTCAGGAGTGGTCACTACACGTAAATATATTTCTTTCTACCCAACTCAAATATATTTCTAAGAAATGCCAGACGTCACAATACGACGAATCGATGTGGAAGATGTTATGACTTCAACGTGAGACTGTCCTCAAGGCTGGTCATGAGACTACTTGGAAAATAGATATTAAATATTTAACGCGGGGAAATACTTATGGGGCGGGAACATTGAATTGGATTAATTGGAGTTGATCGAATGGCATGGCTCGGCCATGCAGGCGTGGTCCCTGCTGAATTTTATTTTATGTCTTTTATTCATATTAAATATATTGTTCTATCTCTAGCCTAAGCACGTTCTGCATCATGTATTGGTGATTGTTACGATACGATGAGTTGGTATAGACGGTGGTATAACTTCTACGTAAGATCTTATAGATTAGGCAGTTATATCACGACAAGTCGATAATCTTAGAATTAGGTTCATTATTAGCGCAGTGTTAATATCATAGTTGACCATAATTCTACAAGACCTTATATATTTGGTGTTCACTTTATAACAAATCTACGATTTTGTGATTAGTTCCATTATTATTGCAGAAAACATAAAAATGCTAATACTGAATCAGATCATAAATTTGCGGATTCACCACTGAGACACCTCTTGGCTGATCTTTTTTTGGCTAATTAAGAAAATAAGGCACTTCAACCAATAATTTCGAAATTTTATTTAGATCGGAGACATAAGGACGATGCTTTCAGTATTTGTGAAAGATATGAACCTGAATGAAATTTTGAATAGATTCAATAATTATCATTACTGGATTCAATTCACATTAGCAGTAAAAGCGTGCGACGAATCTCGTTTCCTTGATAAGAATGTTAGGCAGTTCCCTAGAAAAATCTACATCTACATTTACACCAAGCACTTCTGGTCAGTTAGTGCTATGGGAGAACTGAAGACATTTGGCAGATTAAAACCAATTTACTGTACGTCAATAATTGCACTGTGCTTTTGGATGTATTTGTTTTAATTGACTTTTGAGCTCGTTTGTCTATATCATTATTTCGGACATTTCGGTGCTCTCTTTGGTTTGGTATTTTGGTGCTGTCTTTGTCTTTGGTTTGTTATTTAGGAGTTTTTGCTCCGGGAACCTACAAAATTGAAGGTTTTTTCTGTAATTGTTATAATTATTGTTGTTAGAACGACTTAGGTCGATTATTTGTGAATTGCGAATAAACTTGGTCTCTAATTTGCAGTTTTGGTTCTCTTGCCTACTTGGGTTCGTGATTTGCGAATATCGACGGCCAGTACTTCAATAACTGGAACGGGTGAAAACTCGTACTTGGACGTGACAGTTAGGATTCGTAAAGTCTTCTCAAGCCGTCATACCATTTGAGGATCTGTTAAAGATACAATTCTACTTTGTAACACACTGATGTGGATATTTAAATTTATTTTCTTCCGCTGGGCAGATTACATCAATCTCACAAAGCAACCACTTTCTAAACACGTCTCGGGACATAATCTTGTGCTTCTTTCGAACGTATAATGCAAAACCATTACCAGTTCTATATAGAAACGCCGAATCAATTTTGTACACATCGGTCTAAAGTAGACTGCCTTCAAAATAAACTACATATTTGAAAGTACTGGAATGAAGAGAAAAGTGTGGTGGACCAGACAATATATAAGCGTGAAAAGTATCAACAATGTTATTAAATATCAATAGTAATATTAATATAAACCAGATAGCTATTACAAATACAATAAAAATTGAGACTTTACTGAAGTTCACCAAATTGATGCGTGTTTAGTTTTAGTCTGGTACTGAAAATCCACAATTATAAATGCTTGGTAATTCCAGTCAGGTTGACGAACTATCCAGTACTGTAATTCAATGCAAGGTATGGTATATTCCCACTCACAGTCTATAAATGTAGAAAATTTTTGATTTAGATTTCATTTAACTCAATCACAAGCGAAAATAGAACGAAAGATATGTGTGTAGCATTGTATTTGTTAACAAGCAACAGTATGTCACGCTATGTAGTTACACAACGGAAAGTGAGTTAAAGGTCATACACTAAAACAACAATACATTCATTTAATGATAAATATACAAACAGTGAAAGATTGACGAAATAAATACAAGTGATATTTAAAACAATTAGTCCCTTTGATAAATTTTGATAATGATATTAGAAGACGAGGATTATCAGAACTATGTGATATATTAGCGCATTACATTTCAAACAATCTGGTCACACATATACTTGTTAAGAGCATTTATATATAAAAAATAAAAGGTCAACTAGACAGGAAACGGGGTAAGAGGAGATAAGGATAATGATAAGGGTAATAATAATAATAATGTGAATACAATCTGAAACCTAATCACTCTGGATAATAAGTCAATATTACCAGGGTAGGTTTAAGGTAGGAACAAACTGTTTTTGAACACACAAAGGGGGTCTGAATTTTCGTATGGCTAAGGCTTCAATAAACCTTAGTATACGCCCTTTTACACTCTTATACAGCACTACAAAAGCTGAATTTAGATCAGTCTTGTGACCTGTTTCAATTATATGTTTAGCAATAGAGGATGATGGATGTTTATCCTCTGCTCTTATTGGATCACTCGATTGTATTTGTTTCTGAAGCCATTTGGGTACATGTTCACTCACCCTAATGTTGAGATCACGACTACTACTCCCTATGTATGTGTGACCACACACACATTTAAATTGGTAAACACAGCGGGATGTGACGCCCATCAATTTGGGCCCGAACTCTGCAAGCGGAATTGATGATACGATTCTCTCATCCTTTCGTTTTACCAATTTCCTTCAGCATTATATTTTGTTCTTGTTTTGTTGTGGTTACTGTTTGGAAATTTTAAACCGTAATCACCTGTTATTATCCTTTTTACTAATTTTTCATGATTATAGTTCAATCGTTATTTACGTTTTCCGTTTATCTAAGTTCCCGATCACTACGCAACTTCCTTTGACATTTGAAATCTCTAATCACTTTATGGTGTAATTTCTCCCGTCATTCTATAACCTTACGTATTTACCAAGAAATTATTGCTTGAATAAATCATGTGGTGGTGGTCTCGCTATTTTCTCTGAACTCATTCATATCAATACATCTTTTTACAGGTACCTACGAGGAGAGAGCATCGTTTACCCTTACACTTTGTCTCATGTCACGGAGAAAATTACTTATCGAATCTTCGACTGTATAATGGATTCCAAAACGTTCCAGTTTGAATTAAAGACTAGAGTGGGAGACCTTATCGAAGTTATTATTTGTTACTAACTTAGTGTTAAAGCGATGGGCATTCCCTGAAATTATAGCAGGGGTTAAACGAAAATGGCTACGCAGGTTAACACCAATTAAATGTCAAACTGTACTTTGAATCATTCAACTTTAACGTGTCCTTTATCAAGGTTACTGGTGTTAACGTTTTCGAATGGATTTCCCGGAGCGGGTTGATTGTGTTATTGACGGTACAGGTATGCTGGGAAGTGCTGACGTTACACCATTGACTATTAATATTGAAAATAGTCTAAATTTTAAGTGGTCTTTGCATATATTTACTGTATTCTGCCAAACTTGTTTGGTATTTAGCTAACTGAGCTTTCCCCTTCATATGGCTATTGTCATGTTCAGTGTATAAAGATTTAACACCTTTGTTTATTATATCAGCGTTGTATCACCATTTTTCGCTCCTCATACTTATTTTCAAGCATTCTACCCTATTTGTATATATCGGGTTTTCTGTTCCCGACTTCTACTTGCATCCAAATAATTTGTAGATCATCACACGATTAGTTACACTGTGAAGTAGAAGTAAAAGGTTCTTTATAATGCCTATTTGTCGTGTGAAAAATTTTCGATGCAGTCGGTAGGCAAAAGGATTTGGGTAGGATGTCTAACTTACGGAATCTCTTCTGTCTACAGCTTGGTCATCACGTTTTATTTCCAAAAACGAGCACGATAATACATTTTTTAAAAACAGATATGTATGTTTGCAAAGTATGAACAATAGTTTTTACTGTCAAAGACTAGCCTGTTATATCACTAGTTACTTTAGTTACTGTTGAGTTCATGGCTTGTTGAGGAAAAACGAATACAAGTTTTAAAGTCTGCTCATGGGTCCGACTAGATTCACTGAGGTTCTTTTCGGCTCTTATTACGAAAAGTGGATTTTTAACAGGTGATGTAAATCACAAAACTCATATCAGACTCAGTCCCGCGTAGTCTTTGAGTGGTGAGTCTATAATTTTCGGACGACCTTTGAGTGATGCTAATGTCCACCTACTTAGTAAAGCTAAATGAGTTATCAGCCTGTATAAAGAATAAAGATTGTGATTTACAGTTGATTGTTGGGTTTAGGAATTTGTTTTAGAGTTTTTATTATTAGCTGATATCAGCTAAAACGCTGAAATGCTCTTTAATCAATGCTCTTTAACGAACTCCTCGCCAAAATCCAAGACCTGTTATCCTAAATCTGGATAATTCTTCCATAAATTATAGCCCAGAGATTTAGCTAAAACTTCATTGAAAATTTTTACTGATTCATGGAACTCATTTTTTTCGTATTCCAGGCTTAAGTGAATCTCTGATTTCTGCAAGTTTATCAATATTGGGGAAACAAATTCTTCATATCGATAGGTAATTTGGACTCATGATTTGTATGTTAACATACCATAGAAATGCTTATTATGGTGGAGTCCTTGCATCTTTACGATTCCCTGAATTCGAGAAACTTCTCAGTCAAATTGTAAGTCCATTTCTTACTTTAAATATCTCTATTATGATTTGTTAGGAACCTGACTGCCCCAAAAGTCTTCCAATCATCAAAGATAATTGTTTAGATCTCAGTGAGATTGAGTCTCCTTTGGTCACTCACAGGTCATCAGAATGGTTTCTAGGGTGAGTGCTATTTGGTGTTTTTTTAATTTTAAATCTATTATTTGGTTTAATATCATTTCAGATAGTCTAACGCAAAACCCTTAAATTAGGAGGTGTGAAAACTTTTTTCCATTACATAACATCGGCTTTCTACTGGCGAAATATTTTTTGTCTAATAAAATACAGTTTTCGTATACCTATTTTTGTCGAGATATCAGTAAATTCTGATATACCTACTTAAAATAGATCAAAATAGGATCTAAAGCGGTAACTAACTGGAGATAATTTGTTGAGTTCATAAGAACCAAGATGTAGTCATGTAAAAAGTCATCGTCACTGAGATAACTCATGTTGATTTCTCATAAGTTCTCATAAGTTGTAAATTAATTGTTTAATGCTAATATCAACACATTTTTTAGTGATACGAAGATTCGGTACTGTTATTTGTTTTTTTATTACTACTATTGGTGATAGCTGTGACGACAGTTTCGATTCCTATGATGATAATGATGCTGAAAATTATAGTAGTGTGAGCAGAAAAGTTATTGATGATTCACCAAGCACAATGGCATTGCCTAGTGATATCACTGTTCAACACGATCATATTAGCACTGAAATTTCTAGTGTGGTTCGCGAACTTGGAGAAGAACAAGAGAAATCCAATGGGGATGGACATGAAACTGTTACAGTAACCGAGCAAAAATCTGATGACGCTGATAAGATTGTTCAGAGCCAAAAACTATGGTCTCGGTCTAAACTACGAAACGCTGTGCGCCTTCATGATATAGACATAGTACCAAAGGTAATGTTAATGTTATTGTTAAGTACACATGTATTAATTATTAATTATTAAGCCTATTATTTTCATCAATTTCAGTATCACTTTTGTTTACCACGGCTAAGGGAATCGTTCATTTAAAGCATGCGTAAAGCCGACTCAGTACTTTAAGCACTCGAATGGGGGTTACTTACCCTACTTTCCCTACTTTGTATTTGGCAACCAAATAGTATCTCTAACTTTTGAGCAACTACTGTAATGTGAGGAAAATGTTAATACTAATTTTATAAATATAAGTTTATGTACCAAGCACTAAGTAACACCATATGAGAATCAGTAGTACTCACCTAGGCGTGGAAGTAAAGTAATTTGAGTGGAGTTTGAACCTGTGATATGGCTTGAGTCTCGTTACTCAGGCTTTTTTTAGTGGTCTCAGATATGCTAGCTCCGTACCTTGGGTCAATTTAATGTGTTATTTTAACCTTTCTAACCTTTTGTAAGAAGTCAGCATCCCTGCAGACGTTAGTTGCTTTAGGGGAACACCCTGCTGCCATCACACTTCATGACAGTCAACAGTATGACTTCACTCTCAAACCTCGATTTTACTGCTTTTACCTTTACTTCTCTTCAACTGACCTCCCTGTCATGATAAAACCTAAAGGAACAAGTGTTTCATCCAATATAGTGCGATCAAGTCATCACAATTGTCAAGCACGACCACTACGTCAGGGTAGCAGTTATTGCCGTTGTAATTAAATCCCTAAGTATAAATTAGACTTAGATTATTGATGTAGGAACTCGACTTTCAACTTCCAGATCACCGGTTCAAATCCTATACATACGTACAATGTGAATGAACTCAGATAAATCTTACTGTCCAATCACTATGCTATCTGATTTATTCTTAACGTTCAGCTAAATTCACGAGTGCATATAAGATCGATGTACACTTTTTCAATCGATTCTATGTCTTTACTAAAAAACACTTGGTTAACGCCCAACAGGTGACCATTTATTTACCTCACAGAAAGGCATGCTTTCCTTCAATGTCTTTGAAACATAATAATCAGATAAAACTTATTTGTGTGTCTCTAAATATGAGTGATGACACTCATCTTTCAACAATCGTGTTGCGTGTTCGAATACCGTCACAACAACTTTTGTTTGTACTGACTAATACTATCACTAGCTATTAGGGAAAAGTGTTTGGCTCAAAACTGAGTACACGAAATATAAATAATTGGTGCAAACTAATTGGCTCAACTATTAGAATGATTCCGTAGTTGAAATATAGATCTAAACCAGTTAAAGCTGTGCAGCTGCAGCGGAAAAGGTGTTTCTTACTAAATCAGATAACAGCCTAAACCTGTGTCTTGTCATCAGTCTAGGTCGCAAACCATAATCTATCGAAATTCCACTTCTGCGCTCACTACTATTATGTGCACTGCTTATGCGGACAGACATAAGTAGTATGTAGTGGTAATTGGGAGTGAAATGCTTACTGGCAGAAAATTGAAATGAAGAGAACAGGAAGGAAAACAGAACAACAGCAACAGAATCGAGTGTATAAAAGACGACTCAAGAAAGACGTGCAAATTATGTATTTAATGTATAATTTTCATATTTTACAGAGGTAGTGAGATTGTGTACAAAACAGTGAATCGGTCTTACCAATTCTTTATTTACTACACTACTATTGTCCCATTATTGAACCTCAGCAATATTATAGTCTTAACATAGTTTGCTTTTCTAACAAATTTATTCCTAGTCATTTAATTGTATCATAGATTACACCTGTGAAAGATACCACTGTCTTCTATCGAAAGAAAAACTACTTGGTAGAAATTAAATTATAATTAATAGGTGTGTGAGTTAACTACAACAGTACAGTTGGAATTTAATAAGTTCTACTGTTTATTAAATTTTGAAGAATTTCATTAATTATAAATTGTCTAAAAGCAATCATTCGAATATTCATGTAGTCGATATCTATTTAGGGTTTAATTAACGTGACATTTCAACTCAACTTCTATGTAACGTAATGGTGATTACAGTCCCATAGGTTAGCTTTCTAGATATTTTAATATTATATTCTTCCTGCTAAAGTCTTGTCAGAATGCATACAATGACTTGTCTCAGTTAAGTGGAAGCATTTAAAAGTTAGTTGTGAAGACCACTTACAGGATTATGTATCTTATGGATTCGGCTAATATAATGGTGTAAGTATTTTTGACGAATTCCTTCTAAGATAAAAAAGTTTTAATTTATTGATCAAGATTTCATTTTTCATTATTAAAATAATTATATTCAATAAGGTGTTGGATTATTGTTAATTTGACTTTTCATATCTGGACAATATATAACAAAACTACTGAAATGACTTAAACTAATTACTTAGAAAACTTATCTCTAACTGAAGAAATATCAGCATTCAAAGCTACCGAGAGACTAACTGAGTACATTAATTAGATAGGTCGTGTCTAACATGAAAATCCAGGATGCGCGTTTCACCATATATGGGGCTTGTCAGGTGGATGTACCTGTCTCCCAATGTTGATGTTTATAGAGAGGCTTTAACCCAGTACCTTTCGCTTTAAACGCCCAATCCACTATCCACTGAACTTGTGAGTTCTGATATTCACTAACTTATTCAACGAGGATTATTAAGAATTTGAGTTATCCCATTGTTGATTTTGGGAACTGCAGTTTCATCAGTCTTTCTTGACACATAACCATCATAGTGACCGTACCAAGACCATCCTCATAGGATACAAATATACCAGCAAAGATTGAACACTACCAGTCGAGTCAGTTTATGGTGAACTATCTGATTTTGCAACCACAAGTGGTGTCCCGCAAGACTGTACTTTATCTCCAGTTATGTTTAATTTCATCATAGACCTACTACTGGAAATAATGTTTTCGTTTACTGAGTTTTTGGGAATTAGTATCCTGCCAGGAAGTCCACTTGTTGACTTAGAATACGCAGATGACATAGTCGTGTTTAGTTAAGACCCTGATAAAATGCAGTCTTTTTGTAGCATTGTGCAACAGTGCCAGGATGTTTAGGATGTGTTTCTCCCCTTATAAATACAAATTGTTGTTTAGGACTGACCTGCTTCCATACCTGAACTAAGTAGTCTAACGCGTCGACAACTTCACTTGTCTTAGAAATTTGCTCAGCCCTAATCAATTGATGTCTAACGAAATCTCTACACGGATTCAGAAAGCTCGTTTGGCTTTTGCCAACTTACGTCATCTGTAGTGAAGGCGAGGTATCCTCCTCTCAATTAAGGGACGAGTGTACTGCGCTGTTGTTCGTTTGGTTCTACTTTACGCCTGCGAAACGTGGACATTAAGAGTAGAAGATACTCGTAAGGTACCAGTATTTGATCACAGATGCCTTAGGAATATTGCTCGCACCTGCTGGGGTCGCCGGGTAAATAATAGTGAAGTTAGACGTAGGTAAATTAGTTGATGAGGTTGTGAATCTTCATTGACTGAGATGATTGGGCCACGTTTTACGTATGCCTGAACACCAATTACCACGATGCACAATGCTGACTAGTGTAAGGGATGGTTGGAAGAAAGTTATGGGTGTCCAAACCAAAACGTGGTATCAGTGCTTGAAGTCGTTAAATTCTAGTCTGAGTCATGTTGGTAGATGCAGATTACTTGGTTGGGGTCCGCGTGACTATCGTAACCAATGGTTGGAGACTCTTGGTGACATGGCTCAGAATCGATCACATTGGCATAGGTGTATACACTCCCTGTCTTCCCTTAAACTGTGAGATCAAAACTGCTTCATATTTTTCTTTCTACGAAGCAATTCTTTCTTTCTGTAGCATATCCTTATATACAATCTTTTTTTTATATATTACTACCATTGAATTAACTATTATAAATTCGGTGTTCATCTTGTTGTACTAATGAGGTATGGTAACTTGAACCGATGCATATATGTGTCTGGTCCTACGTTGTAGCTGACTGACTGCAAAGATTGAGGGTATTTCAGTCCCTAATATAAACAATGTGATAATTCAAAAATGATATGAAAATATTAGGGAATAAATCTGCTACTTCGTATACACCAAATATTCATTCAAAATGTTAAGAATTGAATAATAATAAATAAATAATCAGTCATGAAAATAGATATCACAAAGCAATAAGTGATCTTTCACTTCTATTTATCATTATCATAAATTTGTTTAGTTATATTGTCAATTTATGCATTATTGTGATAACTCTCTTTGTTTTCAGATAATTTACTCGCACAGTCCTGTAGTAACTGCGCTTCAACGTGCTGATGTAACAAGATATTTAGAATTTCGTTTTGTATCACGCTTGTTAGCTTATATTGGTAATAATCAGTGCACACAACAGTCTGGAACAGTTTCAAACAATGCTGATAATCAATCTTCCTTAACAAATTTTACGGGTCATGTAGTCAAAGTAAGTGACTACAAATTTTCTGTTTTTTTTGTTGTTAGTTTATAGTGTAGCTGGTTTTTGAACATTTTTATGATTAAAATTTATTCAAATTATTAAAGACTCATATGCATGTTATCATCTTTACTGTTTACATTTTATTTAAGTTGTTGAGGTTGTACAGTTTTAATTGCATAGTTTTCTCACAGAAAACTACAATATAAAATACTAGAGAGTGAAAATTGTTTTATTTTGACTGAATAATCCCCATAGTAACATTGTCATTGTTAGATCTTGAAAATCTTTTATTTGGTCCTTGATACCGAATTAACTTTCTAGTGTTACTTGAATTTTGATATTTGCCCTAAAAAATATCTTCAAATTCTTCATTAGTAAATTAATTTATTGTCATTGATTTGCAGTTTTATTATTAATGAGTATATGGATATATCACATCTTATTTTTTTAAAAATTAGATTCCTGTTTGTCGTTCTGACGTATTTAAAACACGTTTATTAAGTTTACATCAAAAAAGATCGTTAGGTGCATTTTTCGAATGGTGTTTTCATTTAATGATTAATGATACTCAACGCAGTACAACACATTCTAAAAAAGATGAAGATTATTGTGGTAAGTTTATGCTCTTAACATGAATATTGTGTTTTGATGTATGTTAAATTCATATTGATATGACGGGATTAAAAAACGAAATTGCATTCTTTTAGTCATTGTAATTTTTAGTCAAGATTACTTCCATTTTTAATCCAATGTGATATAATTACTCAGTATAGTATTAGTTTTGTTTCCCAGTCTAATATTTTATTTGGTATAAAACTAATTTATTTGTGTGTGGTGTTTGGTCAAGATACTAAATTCTTGCATTTATTTACCTCAACTATTCTCAACATGATATGTAGCATTTGTACCAGTCTTGATTTTCTTACTTCGCGTCGTGGGAATTTCAGTGGTTCCTAACTTTAAAAGTATAAGCAATAAGCGATTCCAATATAGTGATTAGTGGTGACCAGATGTAACGTAAGGTTGGAACGTTATCGGTACAAACTTATGTAAAGTTGTGAGTGAGCTTTATTAAAATGGCTGATGGCTCTTTATTTTTAATGGCTTTTCAGACAACCTTATTAAATAATATCTGTTGACTGACGACTGACTAACTTCAAAACAAACATTTCAAAGTTCAACCAGAAAAGTGAGCCCTATAAAGTTAATCAAACAGATAGTGTAAGGCATTTACTTATCAATCATATAAGAACAAAGTTGTACCACATATAAATTGATGTTCATATCAGCTAGTTAGTGTAATTCTTCTTACTCAAAGTACTTGTTAGAATTTTATAGGTGATTAAAAAAAATTCATATTTGTATGAACCAACATTTAAAGCAACATATTTTCTTATTACACTGCCGATAACACTAGAAACTGTGAATGAAAATCCAAATGTACATTCTTTCTTATTTCTATTAATATAAATATCAATAAACACGCATGTAAACAGAATTCATGCAGATTTCTTTTCTTTACATGGGTTACTGATTATAATGCGAAAAACATACAACATATTACTGAGATTAAATTAAATGCTAAGATTGCAGTTAATCACATCATCATCATTTCCAATGTAAATAAGTAAACTACTTGAAAATCAAAAAAATATTTACATATGTATTAAGACTAAGGACTTTGTCTGAAACCAGCCTTTCCTAAAGTTACTGCTGGTCTTAAGCCGAGATAAAGGAGAGTTCAGTGTAGGATTAGCAACCCCATATCGAATGAAAATCTTACTAAAAGAACACTAAACATAAATGTCATTTAAACGTTAACCATCTGAACTCTTATCTGAAAGTTGAGAATCTTCATATTGTAGAGTTATAATGCCTCATCGAGAAAGCTGATATTGTTAAGAAGTCTCGAAATCGATGTCCAGTAGTTGTCAGAAGGGATCCTGACAACCACAGTAACAATTAATGTAGACACATGCAATATCCAGGACATGTTGAAGATCTGTAGGGTCGTTCAAATAGCCACACTAATGAGAAGATACAACCTGGTCGTATTTTCAGTAACTAAAATCTATTGGACACAATGTCTACCATTTTAAACGATAAAATCATCTTCATGTTTTGCCTAAATAATATGAAAATAAAGGCTAAATCACCATATAGAAATCTTAAATATCCTTCGAATTCACAATTTAAATAATTTATTGTAGTATATTATTCAATAGTTAGTATTTTAAGCTACTTATAACATGTAGCTTAAAACTTTCCACCATTAAAAGGAGCGTATAGTCTATAAAATATAAGTCAAACTATGATAGTGGTGGTTACTCCTGTTATATCACATATATTTATATCCTAAAAAGGCATACAACTGACTATCTATAGCATCAATGGAATATTGAAATATCTATCAAATAACAGGTGTACTTTACCACAGATGCGAAAACATCTTTATGGGTTCATGAAAACTGTCAGAGCTTTGATCATTTGTGCTTTGGTTTGAGATCAAGCTAAGTTGTTTTAAGGAGTCGAATAATAATAATTAATATCAATAGGTTATACAGCAAAGTTCTGATTTCGCGCAAACTGATTTATTGGCCATTCGGAGCCATTTTATATCAAAGTTTATAATGTTGAACAATCAAAAGTTGCGAAACATTATTTCGGTAACCAGACATTGACTTATGAAATCGCCGATTGTTTACTTTGATCATCCAGGTTAAAACTACGTAGACTTTGTTACTGTGGCCTTTATAACTTAAATTTTCCTTTACTATATTGTTTAGTGTTTGGTACTTTATCACGGTGCCCCATTGTGATACATTTTATGTAGACGGATCTGTCTATCAGTTTATGACACTATAAACCAGTGTAGGAAATGTTTCGCCAGATTACCGTATTGTAGTGAACAAGAAAACGAGTGGGGACAATCGAATGCACTTGAACCCGCAATTACAGAACATCTCACTAAAATCTGAGAACCATACAGTAAATACTTAATTTGCAAAATATCAATCCATTTTCTCAAACTTGACTGTTTCTTTTGCAAATATCAGTCCATCGTCTGAGATTTCATTGTACCTGCATTTTCATACCAATTGCTTTCCGTTCCCGTTCTTTCCTTCTCGATCTTCTACTGAAGTACATTCTACTCCTTCCTATCATTATATACTACTTATGTGTATATCAGTAGAGCACACCACAATATTACTAAGCTCCTTATATGAAAGCCCACAGAAGATTATTATCTAGGATTAATATATCAACCACTGTTCTTTAGAAGTGTCTATATGTCATCATTTTTGTTGGTGACTTCATCTTAAATACAGCCTTTCTTGCTACTAACTTTTCAGGAACTATTCTCTTACTCATTAGTTGTATATATCAGTTGTCATTCATTATCTTAGAACTACTCCTTATTAATACCTATTTTGCACCAAAAAAAAACGAGGAAGTAAAATACACTTGATTTGGATAAGTATGTTGAGAGTTAACTTGTGTTGACTGTGGTGAAAGATTTATTCTATATATTTTATGCCACTTCCATTCTTAACATTATTTCATTTATTTTTGTGTTGAAAGTGTCGGTGCACTATGGCTTCTTGGTTTGAATCTTCTTTGTTACACTTTTCTCTTAATTAAGAAACAGATTTCTGTCGATTCTATCTGAAGTGAACGTAACTATTGAACTATACACATCGTATTCTTTCAGTTTATCTACTAATTATTCGTATTCGATTTTAAAATTAATTTAAAAGTTTTAACAAATGTAACTGTCTGTTGTCATTAGTTTGCTTAATTCATTTATTCTATTTTGATCATAATAGTTATGTAATAATTAATTGTAGTATAATTAATACCGATTCATTTTTTATTTGTACATTTGATTAATTTATTTGTTTCTCATCGCTTCTCTCTCTTTTTTGCTTATCTTTTTCCTTTGATAATGAATTCTCTTAAGCATACGAAGATCGACCTTTTCAAGACTTATTAACTGAAAAACGTAAACTTGATAAATTTACCCAACAGTTATTAATAACTAATCTATCATTCAGTAATCAACAGATTAAAACTAAAGAGGTGAGGTATATTGTTTATTGAGAGTGGACTTTTTATTAAATGGTTTTTGTTCAGTTTAATTGGAAATGGATTCATGATAACGTTTACTTATGTTTGTCAACGGTAAATTTATAGGCATATGAGTTTCCCTCTCAAAAATTTGATCAAATCTCACGCCAGTGAAAGTGATCAACTGTTGTTGGTCTACTGATATTTTAAAATGTGAAAATCCCATTTTCTCACGATGTTTCTATAATCTCTACATTTAATTGTGATGGATTTCTTAGGGTAACGTAACAAATTTTGGTGGCGGCTGATGTATTTTGTGGAATTTTGATTTATGTAGTGCTGTTCAAATGGAAAATTTTCTCCAGTAACGTATTCATTCAATCATTTATTATTTCAATGTATATGATAGGGAGGAACTGAAATAATTACTGATGTATATGAACTATACTTGTTTCAACGCTTCATTATACTCAACTTTATCATTCTTCAGTGGATATGTGGTTTTGATTGCTGTGATTCCATTTAGGACTGTTGGCTCTGAAGTCTGTTGAAGGCAATAATCTTCCTTTCTTGTTTCGGTCATTTATAGACCACATGTATCCTGCTATATGATTCTAGATTGTTCCCTTCTCAGTGTTTTTACTAGTAAATCATTCATATAAATAAAAATTCCGTTTGTCTGTCTCATCAATAATTTTTTATTCAATTTCCTTCAAGCAGTTAATATAATTTTACTAGATGGAATAATGATGTGACTACTATGTTCTAAAGAATTGTACTGATAGCCTCAAAATACTTTTCATTTTAAAGGTGTAGAGTAATATTAACAGATTACTTTTTGTGATTAGTTCAGTTTCGGCCAAAGAATCTCACGTGATTTTAATGTACTCATTATCTCATATGTTTAAGCCGTAGCGTTATCTCTCAGAAGATCATACAAAAAATCTCTAAGCTTAATTCTCTATATGGTGTGTAACATGTTGCTGGTACTTGACTGTTGAAAAACAAATCTTAATTGTTAAACTGCAATTCCTAATTTCGCTGTATAAAAAAGTTCACCGGAAACTCTAAATCCATATCATCCTATACTTTGTAAGAAACTCCACTAATTTTTGAGGTTTCATGAAATGCTTTATTGTTGATTATAATTGAATAAGATTTATCCCTATGGGGTTGGGAATAATTTCCCAGCAATGTAACTCTGGTTTTCCTGCCGCTGAGGAACTACGTTTCTGTTTTTGTATTTCCGAAGGTATATATTCATATCTGAAATCAATGTCATATTGTTTGGCTCCTAGTACTGATCAAATTTTCAGTCCTGTATGAGATCATTCACTATCTGAATAACCCAGTGATAAAGTCTTACTATAATATGAGTTCAAATGAAATCCAAAGTTTTAGTTCCCTGAAAATCACACACTTCCTTGTTTACAAGTCTGACTAACACGAGACTTAGTGACTAGGTCTCTTTTCTGTTGCATAAATCCAACTCACATTTAAAACATTGTTTAACAAGTGCGAACATATTTTTTAAAATCTTTGTTTACTTTCAATAGGCCATTTTCAGAATTCGACGATTGTTATTCTCTATGGGTCGATTTGGACCATATCCAATTTTGTGGCCAATGTATGGTAGTGGAGATTTAACTCAAGGATACTGTCGGTCAGTGCTATTTGCCATGTTTTATTAACCGAATAGAGTTTGTATTCCTCATCTGTAGATGACACTGAAAGTCATCTTAAACTACATCCGCTTCGTGGCATAAAAATACTGCTTATTATGCCTTTTCCTAGGATTACCATATAGTGCTGATAAAAATTCTTCAGCATAAATGTTGCTCTGTGATATAATCACTCACCTTTCTGCTAGCTGCTCTCAGTTTAAATCATGCCCCAGTTTTTCCAGTTTGGGTATCTGGATAATTGTTAGCGGGACATAGATTGGATTAAATCATGCTCAATGCACGCTTGCGTTGGCGCACTCTGATGGGCTAATTCTTATCCAACCAGCATCAGTCAATACTCAGTGAACACTCTAGACATCTCATGTGTATACTAACGTTTTCCCTATTGTGCTTCTACTTCCATCTAACCTTGTTATTTGGAATATAATCTCTTTTCCTGTTCAACCGTGTTCTGATTTGGGGGACTTGTCGAGTGAATTGGTGTCCGAGAATACTAAGAAATAGGAATATCTGGGTTGTAAAAAAGAAAGAATTATAACAATAATAATTTAGATCAATTAGGTTCTAGTTCTTGAGTAGTGTCTCATTTGTTCTGGTCTCGGCCCCCGGGTAGTATTTGTCTTATTAAACGCCCTGCATACATAACTCCTTAGGGGTAGGTGATTTGGTAAATACACATCGGTCAACTGTACTAAATTGTCTTTCACTCCGTAGTAACGTCAGTGGTGTAGGATGGTACTTAGGTGTACTGAATAGTACATTTTTCAATTGGATATGCCTAGACTTTTACAGCTTTGAAAATGAACTTTTTCAAAAGGGTTCTCTTGTTTGACTTATTGTCCTATGACTTAAAGGGTATATTAAGAATATTCGAATAATGAATTATTCATTTTTTATAAAAATGTATAGTGTATACTGCCATTTCCTATGAATAATATTGTCTCTATCTGTTTACAAATCATAATATTTTCAGAATGTCAGCTGTTTTCGGTACGACATTTTGCCTTGGTTGTAAAGTAGAAAAAATTGAATATATAAATTCAGAGGTAGATGCAGTAACTCAATCTGTTGAGAATATGACCACCAATATGAAAGATGGACAGATAATAACGGGAGCTGACCCTTCATCATCGTCGTCAATGCCAAAGAATAATACTGATAATGATTTCATTGTTTATTTATCTAATGGTAAAAAAATAAGAACAAAATGTGTTATTTTATGTCCAGAATGTTTACCATATTCTTGGATTAGTGATTTTATTAATCAGTGAGTTGTTTGCTAATAACACTAGAATCTGTTACTATTATTTTTTTATGGTCGTATACTCAATTCTCTTTACCACTTAGCTTCCACTTAAATCCACCCTATGAAATAAAAATGAGTTTTAGAAACTAAAGTTTATAATACCGCATAATATTTAAGAAATATGTTGTTCGTTCTGTTTTTTAATAAAAGAAAATACCCCCGAATGATGTAGTGTAGCTAAGAGTAATGGGAGTTCTCTCTGAGTCCACAAATGCTCTCATACAGTCGTGCTTTTACAGTGTCTGCCAGGGAAGTCCTAGCCAATAGACTCACTTGACTAGTGTTCTTTACAAAATTGAAAGGACGAAAATAGATCTTTTGGCGCCCAAACAGGGTTGGTGAATACGGAAAATCAACGTAGGAGAGTTGGAAAACCCTTATTACAAACCATTTGTCTGCATGAGCTGCAGAATCCCAAGGGAATATTGGCGTACAGACCTATTTTTGGTCACTGGCCACCATAGGACGACGTCTGACGTTTTTCTGCTCCTTTGTATATTAGACTTGCTAGTCGGATGGTTCAGGCAGTGGACTAATAAAACCCACTGCTTCAGTTTGAACGCCTAAGAATTATCTCAGTTCGCATACGAATTTTACTTTCCATGGCACATACTATTTTTGACTACCAGTTGTCCTAAAATTTATGTGAATTAAATTACTGAATAATCTACTCATGGGATTCCCAACATCTTTCATTGTTGAGTGAAATCCTTTAAGACTGAATGTTGAGTTGTTATTTGGATTATTTGTGCGATGTATTAAACTACCTGTGTCTGAACTTATCAAACGAAAAGATTAAGGTTTGTGAGTTTTTTCCACAATCCTGACTGTTTACTCTTATAATGGTTGCAATAAACGACATTTAAATCTATCTTTAATATTATCAGTGGCATGAAAAAAGGGACAGAAATACATATCTTGTTGGAGAAATTTGTACTTTTGAAGAATTTTCTTTCTCATAATTTAACATCAATTGAAGAACCACTACGAACCATAGACGTCCACTGAATAGTTTTTTCACCCACTTTTGTATACACTAGAGCCTTCATGTTTTGCAGCGAACACCATAACTTTAGATTTGAAAATCTTAGACTCAATCTCATATGTATTCATTAATGAAAATTGGAAAGATAGGTTAAAATAGTCGTCCAATGATTTATTGTTCGCAATAGTTCTCCTTGACAAAAACTATCTTCAATTTACTCATATATCTTCATCATCATAATCCAAGATTTGAGTTGATAATTTCAAATATATTGATATTTGCGTGTATTTTTATCATAGTCTTTTATAGTTGTCTCTATATACCTATTTTATCAGATTCTCATGTGTTTTTGTCAACTTTAGTCATCAATTAGTTCATTTGGTTGCTTACTTTTATCAGAGTAGCTTAAATTCAGTTATTTTCTAATAAATAAATACTATCTGTTGTGACGGGCTGTGTCCGAAATCTGATACTGATATACGATTTGCTACGCCCTAAAACCTCCAACTGAACACAAGAGTAAGCGAGAAAGGATGTTGGGGTATCGAATAAAATGCACAGATAGTCTATATATCACCCTGAGCCTTATGAAATTAACCCATTTCTTAGCCATTGAAATGCACTTGTCCTGTAGGTCACTGCTGATTGCCATCGATTAACCTTCTCGTTAGGTTACTTCTAATTGGTTTACCATATCACTATTTTTAATACTACCTGTTGGTCGTATTTTAAAATTTCTAAATAATGCACATAATTTTATAAATAATATTTGAGTGAATCGATTACCCGGCAACCCATGTCCTAATCATTGCTGCTAATTTAAGAGGATTGGTCGTAGGCACTCATGTTGACGATCAATTTAAGCTTTACTGTTTAGTACGCTTATTTTTTACTAACCTAATCACACTTGATAGAGAAGCTCTGGAAGAGGTGAAATCTTTCACGTACCTAAACGGCATCATCGATGAACAAGGAGGATTGGATACAGACATAAAGGCGAGGGTTGGAAAAACAAAAATATGTGGAACTTAAAACAACTGTCAACCAAAATCACAGTCAGAATCTTCAATACGAACGTCAAGACCGTCCTACTGTACGGAACTGAAACTTGGAGAACTGCAACAACCATAATAAAAAAGTACCAGTATTTACAAACAATTGTCTAGAAAAGATACACAATGTCCTTTTGTCGGCTACCATCAACAACAGTCTAATGTGGAGGAGAACAAACCAGCTTCCAACTGAAGAGGAAATTAGGAGACGTTGGAGGTAGATAGAACATACATTGGGGAAGTTATCAAGCTGCATCATGAAGCGTGCGCTAACTTGTGATCCTTAAGGGAAACGGGGAAGAGGAAAGTCAAAGAACACACTGTGTCGAGAATTGGAAGCAGACATGAAATGGATGAATAGCAACTGGTAAGGATTGCCCAAATCAGAGTTGGATGGAGAATGCTAGTTGGCAGTCTTTGTTCCTCAACGACGATTAACAGGTATAAGTAAGTACACCTATTCTTTAGGATCTTACCATGCCATTCGGGTTTGTTGTATAACAGAAAATGTAAAGTTCAATGGCGAAGTTGCTTTATTAACTATAATAGGTTTTCCTGATATTAAGGTGTTTTTCAAATATAACAAACATCCTAACGTGATACTGCCTTGTCATAACAGAAGAAGATCTAAAAATAAAAATCGTCGTTACTGACTTAACACCTTGTTCCTTGTTTGTAAAATATTAATCGAAAGTGTCTGATACAGTCAGCCAATCAAAAATCGTCGAATGAAAAGGCTATGTTGTGTCAAACAAAAATCTCCCATTGACAGGTGCATGTGATTGGCCGAATAATAATTTTATTTTTAAGAAGTAGATACATATGCATACATATGCTTATGAATCAGTTTAGTTCAATTGGTTTCCTTTCCTGTCTTAGCCTTTTCATTCAGTAGTTGGTTTGGCTCTTGCGTGCGTCCTAACAGCATCCACTTTTATCCTACTATTTTATACAAATTTAACTGGTTATTCAATACTCATAATTAACTCTGTTTTCCTTCATAGTTGGTGTGCTCGAGCTGTGCTCATTACAGACTCTTCTCTTTTACCAGATGACTGTAAATCGAGTGATGTAAGTAATCTGCTTTTAGATATTTTCAAAATTATTGCCGATCATTGTGTGAACAACCTGTAAACACATAAGATTTATTAACATGGATATCATATTTGTAGAAATCTCAGGGACTGAAATTAAAAATAACTCCATCAGGAGAGAAGCTCAGATCAGATTTTCGAGGGCAACTTAGTAGTTATTTTTTGATATTAGACGCTGAGACTTTCACAAAAATAATTTTCTTTTTCACTGTCTTTTAGAAACTCAGAGTCTAATTATTGAGAAACTATTTGTTCAAATTCACACTTAAGTTCTTACACAGATGATCTATATTATCATTTATAGAACCCTCGAAACATTATTTTAGGATTGAAGGTGAATATCAACTTAAGCAGCATTCTAATAACAAATTAGTTTTAACAAAAGCCTAAAACTTGCTAGTTTGTATTTTTCTATATTAAATTGTCTAGTGAATATTAAGAGTAACATCTTATTCTGGCCAACAACTGATATTTAAACTCAAAATAATTTAATTGCAATCAAAGTCCTCTCTTCTAAAAGAATCCGAGTGAAATATCTACACAAATTACAAGTGATTTCCTGCATTTACGTTATCAATATGTGTTTTAGGGAATTTAAAAAATTCTCTTCTCTCAGATGAAATCCAAAACAGTCTGTATGCATCAATCATACTTTTGTACAACCTAATCGGTCATTAAACAATAATCAGTGTTATACCGTCTAGTACTTGAGATAGGAGATAAAGCCTGTTTTGATGTTACTGCCACCACGGAACAGATATAGGTTCATGGTTTCTTGTTGATCATTTCCAACCTATATAATTTGTGAATAGTCAATCACTCGAACATAAGTGATTGTTTCTTGTCCACATAATTATTTCTTGTGACTTAATGAATTTGTTATATGCCAGCACCGACCAATGCGCACAGATAATCTTAAGCAACAGAGACAAGAGAGTTGATACTCTACGCTTGATGTTTGGCCCAATATTAACTAGCCCCGAACGGAGAAGAGTAACACAAGACCAATTATCTCCAATTTAAGATGGTCATTGTATTTCAGACATTCATTTACATAGATATAAGATCAGACCACTCAGTAGACTAGATAACTAACAGTATTAACACAGAAGAACAACGCAAATTATTGGAAAAACGGAGTACCGGGTACACGAATCATCGGTCCTAGTTTATAAGTGAAAAATGTTATATCAGTAATGTACAATTCAAATAAAAGCTTGGAACTGGGGTAATACGAAAATAAATAAACCAAAATACCTAACAAACATTCAATCGATATGTTTAAATAAAATCGAAAGTTTTTTACATCATAGTTACATCATCTCTCGTAACACAATTAGGTAATTAAATAAAACAATTTCATGCTTAAAATTACACTTGTTTAAATACTGTAAATTACAGTTGTATTTAGGTATGTATTATGTGCGCTGTATCATCAAAAAAATAGATATTTAAATTGTGTTGAGATTTGCTTTATGACTGTAGGACTGACGACTTTCTACTTTACTAATGACGCGATGATCAACCAGTAACGATTCAGGCCTTAAATCTCTTTTCAATCCAGTGTTTAGTCAGAAAACGAAGTACGTAAGCAGTTATCATCACTATAGTACTGTATTCATTCATGACTCGGAACTTGTACACTTATGTACTTTAAATATTTGACCTCAGCATACCAACACCACTGACAATCACAGTGCATGCGTAACTCATTCATCAGTAATACTAAAACAAAGCAGTGTGGAAATAATTGACTAATCATAATTCCGGAACTAAAAAGAAATAATAATGGCTGTAACAATTCATAATTTTAATAGTTGACTTCATGAGTCGATCTACGCTAGACCACCATTGAAAATTTGGAAGCACTGGACGACTGTTTCGCTCCTCAGCAGTGCGAATCAACGATCCCACACATGGGGCTCGAACCCAGGACCTTCGTTCTCGCGCGCGAGCTCTTAACCTCTAAACCATACTAGGACGAAACGGCCATTCAGTGCTTCCAGGTTTTTAGCTTTGGTCTAGCTTTAATCAACTCATTAATTTTATTTATTTAAATTACTACAATCTCGACAAACCCCCATTCTGATGATAATTTATAAGTCAAACAAAAAGCCTACATACAGACGAGTATAAAAACAGTAGTTTAAACGTTTAATAGTTCTGCAATGAAATATATAAAAGTTTTTCATAGGATAAATACAATAGTTCAAAATATCAAGATGGTAATTTGTTCGTGTTCTTCAACTATTTTCTTTGTTGTTGTTCTTCTTCTTTTACAACCCAATATTCACTCTTGGAGAGTAGATGTTCATTTTAAAATTTATCTTTTTCACAGATTTCAATACTTGCATATTCATTTAATGCAAACAATCAACAAAATGATTTATGTCTTGATCCTGTTATTATAATTGAATGTCAAGTTGAAAAAAATAAATTCTGTAAAGATAATTTATGTAAGTTTTTTCATAAAACATTGTCTTATTTGTTTATATATTTTTTTGGTGAAGATTTACACGTTACAATGCAGATATAATGTGTATCACTAAGCCTTGAAAACTAAGATAAAGAGAACTGTATATATTTTGTCCTAGTTTAACGACTTCTTAGTAATACATCCATCTGTACACCTGGGTAAATAATCGAACTCAGTTTTCTTTACTTTCTTTTAACACAATACTTTAAATTCAGTGTACCAGAATTCTTATAGTTCGTATTTTTTGTTCAATTTTCAATCAATTTATAGTATATAGTTAGTTCACTCACCATCCAACCGTATTGTAATCATCTAAACATTCGACTAATGTGTCATCATCACGGTTTGACTTGTTAATTTCTGATAGATTGAGGATGGGGTGGATTTTTAATAATAGGAATAATGATATATTTGTAATATCTCTCAAATGCTCTGGTACGACCGAGAGTGGGGAGAGTTCGCTCTTTTAGAAATGCTTTCACATATCAGATGGTGGTTGGAGGTAGTCGACAGGAAACCCTGGACCCGGGTTTCGTGCTACTTGGCACTCGTCAGAAAGGTGTATCTGTAATCTTGAGGGAACTGGTGCTCCCTGACGGATTGGATCCCGTGTCACCCAGCTTCACAGTCAGAGACGGTACCACTGAGCTATCCAGTCCGCGACGAACCTCCTGTGGGACTGAGATGTAATCAAAATTGATTGGTCACTGAGTAGTGGCCAATGTCATGTGTGTCAAGTCCTCACATGTCTACGCGTATACAGCCACTGTCAGGGAATTCCTTCCCGTGGCGGGGGTGTTGCTTACGAAATCGAGAGGACGAAAAGCGAATGTCTGGTGCTTTAACCGGGTTGGTGGGCACGGAGGGCCCACTCAGGGAAGTTGGGAAACCCTGACTCCAAACATGGGTGTACATGGTGTACATGGGCTCCAGAATCTTGTGGTAAAATAATAGCGTATGAACCTAACACTACACCACTGTCTTGTAGACTAGACCTGTATGTCAAAGGCTCGGGGAATGGCCTACTAAGAAAAGCGTCTGCTTCGGTCTTGGCGCCCTGGCAGTATTCCAGCCTTCACACAAATGGAATGGCGAAGTGTGACACATATCTATTCAGCGCCTCTTTGTGTCAATGTTTGTGTGCTTAAATGAGTAAATAAATGATAAAACTATATTTTTGACGTTTTATGATTTAATGGATGGTGCTGAGTCACACCCACTATCATATAAATGCAAACAAGCAGGTCTCACATAAACAAATCAACTTGAATAAACTAATTTTGATTGTCTCAAAAATATTTTGTTTCATCTCTTTTATACTATTTACACTTTTGTTAATTTAATTCGGTTATTTATATATTTACTAAGTCACGAAATGTCAAAAATATAATTTCCTACACACTGGAACTTTACAACTATATCATTATTTCTGTCATTTGACCAAGTTGTTTTCTGTGGAAAAAAAACGTGTTAACCTCGATCAGTAATCAGCTTTCAACTGGTTTACTCGGCTTTTAAATCCTATTTCACTAAGATATGGAAAATGAGATAATGCTGTTGCCTAAAGAAGAGTAGATATTTTTTTGTGAACTGATTACCGTCTGCATTAAACGTTGACAACTTATTCTATACTTTATCTCTAGATTATTAATTGAAGCATTTCGTGGTGTACACCTAAGTTTATCTCTATTACTACACTGTTCACAGACAAAAAGTAAGCCAACGGAATCTCGCATAATCTGATGAGTTCGTTTACCCATGTTTTTTCGACTATATTTTTCTATCTACTTATAAGTAGTTGGAAATATTTAAGAACATTTTGAAGGCTTTTTTAAATACTTTAGTATACTATTAAAATTCTGGCAAAATCTGTATACTATAGACGTAAATATGTTTTCGTTGTTATTAGGGTTAAAGAAAACAATTCTTTGTTTTTATGATGAGGACATTGTTCGTTTATACAGTTGTTATCATCTATCCTTATTATGAAATAAATGTCGATAACTGTTAGTTGGGTTAAATCTGATTGATCTCTGTAAATAATACAGTTTTTCCCTCCTTTAGATAAATAATTTTTTGATCGGCTGAGTCGCTAAATATTTTCAAGTTATGAATAACTTTACAGTATTACTGTATTTTGTATATAAATAGTATTTGATCAATTATATTTCTTGTTCATTTTGTTCGAATAATTAAGTGATAAGAAATTATTAATCTTTCAACACAGGCACTATGTACGTCAAATTGTGTGAATCTATGATTCTTTTTCTCTAAATCGATTGTTAGTGTTTACTAATATTAAGTCAAGTAGAATAAATACAGTTGCTTCGTTCCACCTGGTAGAATATCAACATCTGAAATGTCAGACGATGAAAGTGTTATTTCTAAAGGCATGTCTATGATAAAGTTAAATATAAAGCAAAAAAAGCAAATAACCCTGATAAACACCATTTGAAGTAACTAATTCCGATGACAGTTCGCCATGAGCTCTGGCTCGACCAGTAGTGTTCGAGTAGAGAGTCTACAAAATCAATGTGCTTCTCTGATATGCCTTTCAATTGCGGACAATGCCATAGAACCTTACGATCAATAGAATATAGTTACAAATAATTAAAATTACTAGCGGAAAATAAACTTGGAAACAATTTTAAAACTCAGGGTCTAAAGTGAAGACATTGAGTGAATGCATATGAACCATTTCAAGTTAATGCTTCTACAAGTTAGCAATAGAAAGCTTAGTTTTTTTTAAAAAGGCAGTTCGTAAACACCAGGTTTTTTGTTACTCTATAACCAACATTTAGATGTCTTTCTTTTATTAATCTGACTGAAAAAGCTTAAAAATTGAGTTTAGTATTATGTCACACAAGGAAACTACATAAAAACCGAAATTTGATTACAAACGAAATATACCAATGAATAAAGAACGTAGTCTGTTATTTGAAAAAATAAAATTAAGAAAAACACTATCTCGTTAAGTTTATCAGGCCTAATTTATTTCGATGAAGATTCTGATATTATCATGCATAAATTTGCTTCTAGCAAAATATTCAAGGAATCATTTGAACGATAGCAATTCACAATAAGGAATCAAATAGTTGATGAATGAAGAGAGGGTGGTTGATGATTGACTTTTTCTTATAAATTACGAAATATAAGACGATGATGTGTATCTTTTTATGTTATGATAAATTGTCTCTTTTTAGACGTCTGCAGCAAATACGGTAGAATTAAGTTATGCTGTCTTAAAACAAATGTAACCGATCAATCAGAATAAACATAGCGATTGTTGAATTTGAGACGGATTTAAGGATTGCTTGCTACCAAGTGTCATGCTTTTGACTAGGTTTCCCATTTTGACTAATTCTGATGGTGTCTGAACCGTAGCTCACCTACAAGATATTAGATTATTGAGAAAAAACGTTTTATATTGCTATAGCCAGAAAATGACATCTAAAGATGTCACGGAGTTCAGAGATGATGTTTTTTTAAGTGTTCGAGTTAGTATGTTTAGATTTAAATGTTCAACCTAAGGAGTGTTAAGTTTATGATAATAAAGTTTAAATACCAGCGTTTCAAAACTGCATTCTATCCACTTCATATATAAATGCTACATCCTAATCAACTGATATTCGATTGGTTATTCTCAGTCATCCTAAAAATCAAGTGCGTTGGTATATTTTCTGTTTGAAAAGCTATGGGAGTTGACCTAATCACCAGAATGTTGGTTATTCACGAATAATTTCTAAACTATACGAAAAAAAGCTAGTTAAATATATGTAAGAAAACCTCGAAGTTTTATATAAGGGATATGTATGTCTTAGTTTATATGTGAATAGGATTGGTTGTACCATCTTTCTTTTCATTTGAACAGATGTATCTGTCTGTATTTACTCATGTGCGCATTGGAGCTCGTCAGCATACTGATTTGACTGTTGAATTAAGTATTTTTCGTTTTCATTTAAATTCATTATTCTTTCCTTCTACCAAATATACGGGGAATGACTCAACTGTGTTTAATTGGAGAATCGATTTCATTTACTGAAATCATTTGATGAGTAGCCTGGTTTTTTAGTCTGGATATTTTATTATTTATATTTTTCTCTACCCGAAATCCATATATATATATATATATATATATATATATATATATATATATATATATATATATATATATATATATATATATATATATATATATATAGTGAAAACAAAACAGCAGGAAGGTATTACCTACAATGATTTATGCTTTCATTTGTAATGAATATAATGTATTTTCAGCCCAACCTGATTAGTATGCCAATTTTCTCTCGACTTATAACAAAAATCATACAATTCATGTTGATCTGTTAAATATACCATATACACCCAAATGAGCAATAACTATTTCTGTGAGCCCAATATGAAAAGAATTGTGACTATAATTAAATCTAGAATGGTGAAAGGCAAGCGAAATAACATCATGAATTGGAAATGTTTGTATACTCCATCTAGTATTACAGAAATAATCATTTCCAGTGTAAGACTACTAAGTAGCTGGTTATGCAAAACCATCTGGATGAAAGTAAATTGACAAGGTCCGAACTCAATGGCTGTGTTTCAGTCAGTTAACATAACGTGTTTTGTAGTAATCATTCTAGATACATTTTATATCTCTATTAATTTAATTAACTTTTTTCCTTTCATCAGTGTTAAGTATTCAATCGCAAAAAAAACGACACAGTCACGTTGATTTCGTTATGTTGAATAACTTTTATCACTGTTAATCTCCTCTCTTTCAAGAATATCAATAATAAATAACAAATATAGCTTTTATGTGTTACGAATATGTTTATAATGTGTTGTTAGTTTGAAGTGTGACCGCTACAACCGATTATAATTTATACCATACATTGTAGGGTTACTAATGAGTAGTTTATTTGTATACCACATCATATTTAACCTGTTTTGCTTTTTGATGTATCTATCTACTTTGTACTGTGTAATTAATTATTTGATTGAATATTAGGAAATAGTGAACCAATAAAATTTTATCCCATTATAAATTATGAATGAATGCTTTTTGATTGCATATAGTTAATGAATGTTTGAAATAAGATAATCTATCCCTCTTTTACTACCGAATGAAATGTTAATTAATTAGATGTTGATTTGTTTAAATTTATTATCTAATTAGTATTACTATCAAAATTAATCAAAAAGTGCTTTTTACAATCCATAAAGGTGTTTTAATTTTCCATGATTTATATAGTTTTTGAACAAATCAGTGATTAGCGGAGACGTGCATTGTATCTTGATGTACGGATTCTAGGGGAGAACAAACCATGAAATACTATCAGCCTACAAAGTCCATGACTGCTGGTCAAAGTTATGTAGGTAGATTCAGTCTACCTGGTTGGAGTCCACGTGATAACGATTATTAGTGTCTAGTGTCTTTGGGTGACATGGTTTAGAATCGTTCATAATCACCTTATCTTCCCCTCTACCTTGAATTATCGTATTGTTTTGTACACAAATTTTCCACTCAGTCTTTTTTGCGAACTACATTCTATATATTTAGTCTATGTCATTGTCATTGCTAATACATTATTACAATATATTTTACCATACTTTTTGATTTCATCCCACCATATTGGTATTCTGTATCATTTTATGTGAACATATATGTTCCAGGTTCTATTTTGATGTTGACTGATTGTTTATAGTAAACTGTCAAACAAATCACTTTCTTAGTAGTCATTTACTGGTGATGATAACAATCTGAACATAGATAATGATTTCCACACGTGAATTCTCTATGTCGTTGTTCAACAACTACATCTCACTAGCTCTTTAGCGAATTTCTTAATGAAGATCCTATTAAAAAATAACGAGTTTACTGTAAAACTAACCATGACTTTGTTGCTTGATATAATTTGTAATAATTTAACCTTGAGTGCATTTCAGTAATATATATATATATATATATATATATATATATATATATGTTTTCGAAAAATAGTTTGGAATAACTGTAAACAATAAAGTTGTTTTTATGACCTTATTAAACGTGCCAATGTTCTGAAGAAATGTTTGCCAAACTTTTAGACCGGTTTATGTTTTCAATAAAATACAATTAAGCCAATACATTCCATTCGTATACAATCCTGTTTTGTATTGCACTCATTGTATGTGACCAGGACAATAAACACTTAAATTTCATCAATTTTTATTCATGTGATTATTTTCCTATTATGTCTATCTAGATTAACTAAAAAATGCAGAAAGACGTTTGAGTTACATTTTACCGAATAGCTAACTTTGAAATTGTCTTTCTATTGAATATATGACTAACTCACTGAAGTTTCAAGTTCGTCCAAATACTTCGCATTATTTCAGAAGTCTAACCAGCTCTAATTAGTTAATACCCGACGATACCACTTATTTTTTCCTACTTTGTACCATTTCCCTATCAAATAACAAGTATGATGTTGTAGTACTAGACTTTCTAATGGTTTACAGCTATGAAACACGGCATTTGAAAATTAGAGACAAAAGTTTTTAAAGCTAGATCATAGACGTCTTAAAGCATTGTTGGTGATTAATAGAATTACTAAGAGATCAATTCCGGGGCGAACGTTGATTTCTAGGGAAATTTCCAGATCATTCGTTGCCACTTCATCAGATCGACGTGTCTAAAACATACTTTACAGACACTTCGCCTATCTGTTTCAATGTACTATTCTGATCAGTACATGAACAGAGATGCTGTCTTCCCTTAAAAAGGATGGGGTTAGAAAAAGTAGATACTCTCCTCACGGAGTTAAATCTCTGGCGGTAGGCTCTCAACAAGTACAGAACTAACACGAAAATTACTCACAAAAAGGTCGTGTGTGATCGGCCTCCAACAGTTGTCCCTTGGGCACTGCAGTCACGTTCTCAGGTCACTCGAACCACCTCTAACCCAATTTCTTTTCGGGTATCTCCAGAATAGCCGTTCCACGGTGTGAGTAACCGGGAGGTGATGATCATCCTCATACCTCTAACAATACTCAAGATCATTGTATTCGTAATCAGTCTGCCTCTTCATTTCCTATTAATCCTCCTACCCCGACCTTCAACTATAAACATCCTCTTTTGCCTTCCTCTTTAAGCGTCACCATGGCCAACAATTCTAGTACGCAAAACACTCCCAGGTCTACTGAAAGCTTACTCGAAACTACACATTTGGGCCTTCAGCTTATAGATATCTGGATGTATTCTTTATTTTCCTCAAAACTTCAAGTCACCATTATTCCCAACTTTTGTGGTTTTATTCATTATTGCTATATTCTATTTTCCTTTTCCAGTTCAGCTTTTTTCATCACATTTCAACATTTTCTTCGTTTTATTAATTTTTTAGGATATAATGTTTATGAACTTGAACCGACACATTCTGATTATGTCCGACATTGTTCACAATTGATTTATTGAAAGACTTCTCTTTTACCAGAATTATATTAAGTCAGGAACATGTGTAAACATGAAAAGTTCTCATCATCGTCAGCATTATACGCAAAATAGGATCTGAAAGATATGTACATCAGTCCACGTTTCCCTACAACATTAATATGCGGAGATAAAATTATTTCAAGACAAATCCTAGCATATTAGTAGTAGTAATAGTATCAGCTTTAATTTAGAAAGATTAGATATCGAAAAAGAAAAGAAGTATAGAGAGACTTTGGCACTCGAATTTTAGAAGAAGACAAGATATATATGTCTTCCATCCCTTATGTGTGTCAACTTCCACGTAATTTAGATCCTGTGTTTCCTGTCGAACTACCTTTAACTAGCTAATAGTAGAACTATGCTAATTTGCCTTCTCGTTCTGCTTTATTTTCATGAACTACTCAAGCAAGTGAATTATTTGGTAAAATTTAAATTAGAAAATAAGTAATTTTAGATTTCATAAATAAAACAGCGTAAATTGCAAATTGTTTCAGGTGGATGATGAATTCAATTATATTTGGCTTTAAAAATATATGTATATACACACACACACTATATTTATCATATTGTGATTACTGTTGTTGTTTTTACTCCATTTTTTCTCTCGTTACAATCATTTGTTCACCGTTCTTTTCTCTTTTTTTCTCTCTTCAAAACAATCAAAATTAAATTCAGTTGTTGTACATCTATGCGCAATCATTAAACAACCGAATGATCCAAAGAAAATTTTCCAGCCTCTTTTAAATTGTTTATTTACACAATATGATGATAGTGAGTTTTGTGTTGTATTTTTTTTAACGTTGTATTCTTTATTTGATAATCTGTAACAAAAAACCATTAAGAACTAAGAAGGGTTTTTTTTCAAAGAGAATTTTCATTTCTTAGTTATGAGTTGAAATGAAACTCTTCGATGACACTGAAGTAATCAGATTTGAATTATTTAATTTGTGTAAAAAAAAGATTTCCAATCTAACCATTTACAGTAAATTGTCACAGGTATTTGTATAAAAGATAACGACGTATAAATAGATTAAAATTAATTGACTTCAATTGAGAAAACAATAAAATTTATGAACTAATGCGTTTACATTGATTTTGTGACTGATAAAATACCCTCGGTTGTTTAATTCTAACAATCATGAAACCCAGATGATGTTTTGTTAACCACCAGTTACCAACTACCGTCAAGTTATTGAACGATTTAATCCATCGCTCTTATTTCCAAAGTATTTACACTTCTAAACTAGATGATCATTTAACATTTCAGTTAACTTCTATGTAGTCATCAGTTAGTATAATCTAGTAGAAAATGTTCAACGAATAACTATTCACATGTGTTTCGTGAATCAATAGTTTCATTGAAATAGCACACTTTGTTATTTCGCACAACGCAAAGTGAGCAGCGTAACTAAGAAATCGTTCATAAATATTATTTTCTGTTTCATAGATCTTTGAGATGTTCTACATTGTATAATCTATCTTGATTTTGATATTCATCTTTTTTTTTCTCTGTATATGTGTAACTTAAAAAGCTGAGAATTTATCTCGTTCTTTCTATGTTGGTCCTGTTTATATATATTACTTTGGTTTTCTACATTTTTCATATATTTATTATTATTATTATTTATAAAACAATCGAGGATGGTCGCGCAACATCGTGGGTCGATTGATTTTAGACATTAACACCAATGGCTCTCGGCCTGATTGTCTAGAGTTTAAGTATTCGCGCGGGATCATAGATCCTGGGTTTGAATCCCGCGTCCGGGATCGTGGATGTGCATTGCTGAGGAGTCCTGTACTGATACGAAACGGCTGTCCATTGCTCCCAGGTTTTCAATGGTGATCTAACATTGATCGGTTCATGATTGCAATGAAATTCAACAATCTCTACAACATTAAAGATTCCCATTGTGAAAATTAGAACAACACATATAAGCGAACAATTGACGATCTAATTGAAAACAATTGTGCTCTTATATGTCTTGTTATAATCTCTACAACCCCAAACTTGAAATTAATTAGTTCTTCGCACAATTTATTCATTTGTTTATACTTATAATAGTTTATTAAGGTACAAATAATATAATAGGTATTAGTCAGCAATAAAATTATCACGATCCCGTAACGGAAAAATTTTTTAAGACTCATTTTAACGGTAATCGCATCAGTACATTATAAGCTCACTTGAAAGTTTACTCAGTTGATTATGCCTATATAGAGATAATCAGCTTTTCATAGTTTGTAGTAGTTTTAACGTTGTCAATAGAGAATAGATGAGATCATATTATGCAAAAAGTACATAGTTCTTTTTTTGTGGATTCTTCCGTCACTAATATTTTCCTAGACTAGACTATTAATATTATAAACAGTCACCTGACATGATTGATTTTCCGAAGAGACAAAAAAATAATGCGGTTATCCTGTTCCACTTTAATGAGAAGTAGTATTGATATACAGGTTTATCTCCCCGGGTCATCCAAACAGACCCTATATTTACTGATATTTTTCTAGCGTAACTACAAAATACCAAACCTAAAGATGTGATAGAACAAAGGCCGATGTATTCTAGTTATGCTGATAATACATTATTTAACAACAGAAACGATGCTGATCACTTACTTAAATGTTTTTTTTCTATTCGACTCTACTGAATCTCGAATTTACATGCAAGCCCAAAATATAGAAAAGAATGAATTTCTAATACTTAGGGATACTAAGAAACAAATATGTTGCGGTTCACATCCTATAAACCATAAATCTTCCTAAGTGCTCGTGTTTTCGTTTCAACAGCTTTTGATCAATTTTATATAGAAATCTTGTTAAAATGTTGTTCTTTATAAATAACAGACTGTATTCAAAAGACTCACTCGACGACGAGATGGAAATTATGCAGATAACCTCAGTCCGTAAACCTTAGTGTCTTCAAGTTCCTTAGAAATCACGTTTTTCGACGACACCAGTTTGAGAGGTGATGGTGTCTTTAGTTTTTGCTGAGGATCATGTTTCGATAAAGAGCCCACGGCTGACTCTACTTTACAACTCATATCGCCTAATTGCTTATATATATTGTCTAATTCACTCTTAATATTATCGATGCTTAATTGATCTTGATGTACGACTCGTTATTAAACTAGAGACTGAGTCATCCAGTGGTAGTTCGTTCTGTTTTACTTTACGGCTGCGAAATGTGGCCATTAAGAGTAGAAAATATTCGTTAGCTACTAATATTTGACCACAGATGTCGTAGAAATATTGCTTGGATCTACTGGGATCACCAGGTAAGTAATAGTAAGGTTAGACGTAGGGTATTAGGGAATGATGGTAAATCAGTTGATGAGGTTGTGAATCTTCATTGACTGTGATGGTTGGACTACATGTTACATATGCTTGAACGTCGATTACCACGCCTTACAATGCTGACTAGTGTAAGGGATGGTTGGAAAGAAGTTAGGGGCGGTCAAACCAAAACGTGGAATCTGTGCTTGAAGTCCCGAACTTGTGGTCTGAGTCATGTTAATAGATGCAGACTACTCGGTTGGGGTTCGCGTAACTATCGTAACCAATGGCTGGATACTGTGGTTGACATAGATCAGAATCGATCACAAGGGCGTCGATGTATATACTCTCTGTCTTCCCTCAAACTTTGAGATCAAAATCGCTTCATATCCTTCTACAAACTAATTCTTTCTTCCTGTACTACTGAATTAACCACTTCTATGAATTTGCTGTTCATCTTGTTGTGCTAATGAGGTATGGCAACCTGGATCGATGCACATATGTGCCTGATCCTACGTCGTAGCTGACTGACTGACATCCAGCAGCAAGTGTTGTGTAAGTTTACTCCTAATATTATCTGATCCAGAAAACGTTATTAGGCTTGTGCTAAAGGTAATAACATAGTTGTCATTATCTGAAGGATTAGGGCTTTTTCAGACTCGTTTTCTTATAGTAGACCCATTCTGATATAAGTTTTAATCCTAATGCATTATATGCATTACATGATAGGATTCAATAACATCTAAATACTTTCTATTAGATATCGTATTATTGTAATGCAAAGTTCAAACTGACTGCATAACGTTACGACTCTGTGTAATTATATAGATGGATGAATTTTGCACTCAAATCCCACAGTTCTTATCTTAAAACTGATCGTCTCGTCAATTCGTTTCAATTTACTGGCTTATAAGTGAGCCAAAGAGAATGTTTTAACACTAAATTATGTCATCGAGGTGAACTAATCGTGTCGATCACAGAATATGAGTATTCTTTTTCTTTATCTGTTCTACGATTAGACAATCTTGCATAAATCAGTTTGTTTTCCTTATTATTCTGCACACCAACACAAATCAGTGAAATGCGAATGTATTAGGATTACATCTCGTTCACAATTCATTCATATCCACGCTATTAGTTTGTTTTTAAATTTTAATATTGAATAAATCATTATTAATAATACTGGTAATACCAGTAATGCTAATAGTAATAATAATTATCATTAAGAGTTCGATATGTAATTGGTTCAGAATTCACTATGTGTACAAGTTACTATTTAAACTGTTGGTTCTGGTTTTTCTGCTCTTATAAACATGTTTATATTCATGAATATATATTAACTGATCCAATACTATTTTTTATTGAGAGTTAAGTCTATATGAACTTAAAACAGTCGTATAATTTTTACTAATATTAAATGTTCATGTTTATCATAATAAATAACTTTCAGATCATTGAACATGTATATATTTATTTCACTATTATTATTTTGTTGAGCAAATGATTGACAACGAGAATAATAGTGGTATACTTATTTCTCGTTTCACTTATTTTAATAGTTATAGTAGGTTAATTGAGGCTGTATCAGTTTAAGTTCAGTAAGATATTTATTGAAAACTATGAAGTACTGAACAGATGTTTTGTTCTATTATGGAGTGCTTCAACAATGTGCATCCACAATCTCATCCTGGATCGGATCCAGAACCACTGAGCTGACATTCAAGCGTTTAGATGTTTGAATTCAATGAGTTCACGATATTACTCAACTATTTCTCGCTGGCTTTAATGAGTAACTAACTGCTACACACTCGACATGGTTGAATTTCACTAGTCATGGCTTCTCATTAGACCTCCGGGAATTACCGCTCAAAATCAATCATTAGTGTGCACGTGATCAATAATTACCGTATCATGTTTGTAGGGATAGTTGAAGTTTGACACCACGAACCGACCGTATAAAAAAACATTATTTGTAGTTTACTATCACGATGGTTTTGTATATAATAACTTATCTAATATTTATCATCTATGTGTTAATGAATTGTTCTTTTACATATAAAGCTATATAGTTTGTATACATGCATCGAAGATGTTATTCTGTCATACTGTAATTCTTATTGGTGGGTATCAATTCAGTTTTTCTTTATTCGTTAAATCAGTAAATAAAGGTAGATTGTGTTTGACTGACAGGTAAGTTTCTAATAGCCTGCATGTTACGCACAGTAAGTGAATCGTTGTATATACAACTGCATCATCATGAGCGGTAGATTACAAAGTTATGCATAATGTTTAAGCTGATATGTTTTAATTCCTTAAAAATCAATGAAATTTATGAACTACATCAAAAGCTAAACAGTTTGATATGATCGACAGATCTGCTTCTTACCGACTTAAACTAAATGAATTATCAGTAGCAATATTATGCATCATAATGTTGAACAATCCAATGTAGAATTAGGCGAGTGCCAGACATTTTCTTGCCAGTTGTTACATCC